TTAGAACATAAAATTCATTAAGCCTGTTTTTCAATGTTTGTCAAAAAAAAGTTGCAGGCCCTATTATTTCTTTGTCACAATGATGATTAGCCAAAAACAAAGTATTTGAAATATGTTAAGAAACACGATCCCTTGTATTTTAGCATGGAGTTTAAATCAAAATACTTGAAAAACCTGGTTCTGTATGAGACATATTTAAACATGTGCATACTGAATATGAATCAAAATAAGTTATGGTTTAACATATGAAGTTGCTGAATCTGATTTATAATGACAAAAAAATGATAATTAACCAAGAATAGGCAATGTTAAGTGAAAATCAGGCTTAGAACGATGATTAGCCATAAACAAAGTATTTAAAAAATGATAAAGGGGTGCAAAATGCAGCTTAAAGGAGGCTGATTGCAAAATAGCATCAAACCAAGGTTTCTTTGTTCTGGCTCTCCGAGTTCTTTTCATAAAAGTACCACCAGAAGTGGCTCATTTGCCTTATATAGTTGTATAATAATGACTCTGATTCTAGCATATCAGTAATTTGAAAATCAAAATTAGAATGATGATTGGCCATAAACAAAGTATTTGAAATATGTTAAGAAACCTGGCCCCCTTGTATTTTAGCATGGAGTTTATATCTAAAAACCTGAAAAACTTGGTATTAAGATACATATTTGAACATATGCATATTGAATAGGAATCAAAATAAGTTATGGACATATGGTTTAACATATTAAGGGTCTGTTTGCAATAGCTTCTTCTTTAAAAAGTGCTTTTAATGAAATGGGAAGAAGGAATTAAATAAAAGTTGATAGTGTTTGAGAAAAAGTGATTTTGAAAAGTAAAAGTTGGTAGTGTTTGGTAAAATAAGTGCCTTTTGTGTAATAGAAAAAGTAAAAGCATTTTTAACACGAAAGCCGAGAAAAATAAAAGTTGTAGTTTTTGGTAAAATAAGTGCTTTTTTAAAGCCAAAGCCAAACGCCGAGAAGTTCTTTTTTAAAAGCATTTGCAAACTAACCCTAAATTGCTGAGTCGGACTTATATTGCCATAAAAAATGATAATTAACCAAGAATAGACAATGTTAAGTGAAAATCAGACTTGGAACATAAAATGCAAAACAAAAAAGAATTCCAAAAAAAACATGCAAAAGCTCTCTCCAGAAGATGCAAAACTCCAAAACCGTATACCATTAGACTGACAGTTATGTTCAGCCTTATCTTATAGGCTAATATCCATAAAAAATAATTATAAGGAGTTCGATTATTCAAATAATAAAGAATGGGTTAACAATGCATTATGAAGCAAAGTATCTGTTATCCATCTATTTCTATCGATCTCTTGTACGGGTGATAGAACTAATCGGTTTTTAATTTCAGTTTCTATACAAATACGAAGTATAAAGAGTATAAAATACTAACCGAGATGGACTTTGCAAGGCTTGAGCGAAAGCACATCCACAGTTATTGGCGAAATCGAATCGTGTTCGTCCCAATCTTTTTTGAAAATAATCTTCTGCCGTCTAGAATGAGTAGGAAGTGGAAGAGCTAAAGAAGAGATTTTTCATTTTTGAAAATAATAATCTAGAGTTCAGGCTCCAAGAAAAGAAGCGTAAGAAACGTAAGAAGAGGAAGGGGAAGAGATGAAGAAGAAAAGAAGAGAAACCAGGCTCCAAGCATCGTAGCGATAATTAAGAGAAATCAAGCGTAGTTACGAAAATGCCCGTGTGCGTGAGCGGGAACTCACTTAAGTGGATTAATATAGATATATAGATTCATATGAATGATGTTTATTAATGTCATGCAGAATACTAAAAGAACCATGTTAATTAATATTCGTAAGTCTAAACATCATATGATGTAGGGTGATTTAACAAAATGGCAAGAAAAAAAAAGAATCTATCGTGTTAGGCATTGGCCCCCTCCTATAATAACATAATCTCGAGTGGTTCAAAGGTAGTATCACGTACATATTAATAATGACATTCAGTTATGTCATTATTAATTTTATTAGTATTTATTTATTTGCTTATTTACTTATTTATTATTTTACAAAAAAATATATATATATAAAGCATTGGGGTCCTTTAGCGGTGGGGGCACTAGGTAATTAGTTATGTATCTGGAGTAACTCTCCCCAAAGTCGGCACCATTAATTAAAAAAATGCTAGATGTACATTCTGGGGTACACATTATATAAAGCATTCCCAAATTTTACCCTCCTCCTCCTCATCATCATCCTCTCTTTTTTACATTTTATTCATACTCCATCTTCACACTCTTCTTCCACAATCATCTTCACGTTTATTTTGTCAATGCACCCAAAAAAATGATGTTTGAGAATAATCAAAATTTTTGTCTGTGCGGTATATAAATATTGTCAGTGTAGTGCCAAATAGTGATATATATTGTGTAACGAGAGACGAAACTGTAAAACTAGCAACATTTTATAAAATTCCGCCATAGATAAAAAAAATATTATATACAAACATTGATTTTAATTTTTTTCATTGCATGTGTACACAAACAAAAGTTAGGGTTAGGTTGCGCCGAAAAAAATATTTGTATACAAAGACAAATATATATACGTGCAGTCACTTTTTTTATCTGTGCACGCAATTTAATGTTTGTGTGCACATACATTGATTTTCGTGCAACCACCCAGACAATTCTGCAAAAAAAAGTATATGCCTCGGTGAAACTACTCAAATTTGGAGTATTACAATTTTAAGTAGAGTATTGTCTAAATTTGAGGGTTCTTTTGATAAATTTCAAATGCACTATTTTCCATAATGGAAATAGTAATATTATTATTAAGAAGGCAAGAAACTATACTCATTTAGATTTATGTATGCATGGAGTTATATACCGGGGTATATTTTTTTTTTATTTAAAAAGATACTCTTAACAATTATCATATTTAAATTTTGCACACAAAAAATGTTATAAGAAATCAAATACTTCTAGTATATTCATATTTATAAATACTTTTAAAATAATGGAATATTTTACACTCTATATCTTTTATTAGAATCTTTCATTTTCTAACTTTATTTTGTTGTATCTTTTAATTAATTATGCATTTTTATGTCTATAATGTTGTGATTATTATACTTAAACCTATTGTCTTTATTCTCAATTTTCTAATAGTTATTTGTAGCTTAGGATTTTTTAATCGGATTGATATCTTATCTAATCCGATTAGATAGATCAAGATAACTGATTTATGTGTAATTTACCATTATCGAAAACTGATTTGATTCGTTCTGATATTGGACTAAAACCAATCCAAGTAAAAACAACTTATTTAGATTTGTAATTAATCCTTACTTGTTAGCTTCATTAAGATAACTTTGGCTATGTTTGGCACAACAAGCTGGAACTGGAGGCTAATGTCTGAAATAGAGTCTATTGTCTGAATTGAGACTATTGTCTGGAACTGAACTTGAAAGTGCTGAATCTGAATTGCTAGCTGGATGGAGTTAACCCGTTTGGCAAAAAGAGCTGAACAAATGCAGGGATAATGTGAAATTACATTAAAGGACATATGATTATTAATAGAATAAAATACATTTATTGTACTCCCTCCGTTCTCTAATACTTGGCCCTCTTTCCTTTTTGGGATGTTCTCTATTAATTGTCTCCCTTTCCATTTTTGGTAAGTTTTTTCAATAAATATACCCATTTACCCTCATTCTCTTTCCTACTTTTTCATTCTCTTTCCTACTTTTTCCTTTACACACAACACACCACACCTTTTCCACTACCCCTATTATCTTTCTCTTAAAACTTGTGCCAAACCCTATGGGGACATCTAATAGAGAACGGAGGGAGTAATGATTTTTGTATTTTTAGCCTTTGTCAAAATACTAGTAATTTTTTTTGCATACAATATTATTTTAATCATTGATGACATTCTTTATAGCTATGCAGGTGACCTTTAAACTCGTTTTTTTATTTCCAGTTGAGCAGTGAATAAAGCATAGAGCAGATGGAGAATGAGAAAACATATACTCCGTAAATTGATACCTTGGATACGGAGGAAATAGGTGTTATCAGCAAGGAATTGGGGAAAGTAAAAAAAAAAAAAATCATACCTTGGCAGTCGGCTGGGGAAGAAAAGGAGGAGAGGTTTTGCGTGAGATGGACACGATGGGAATGTGAAGTCTGAAATGGTGCGGCTGAATATAAACGTTGCCTGCCTAAACGTTTGGGTTTAGCTCAAGTATTTCAGATCAAGCCCGTTTCAGCTTTTCAAACAAACAGGACTACTTTAATTAAAATGGACTAAACCTTTAATATTTCAGCCTTTTTTTTAGCTGAAATGGCGTGCCGAACAGAGCCAAAGTTTCACTTATTTTGCCCTTCGGATGGATTTCTATTGAATTTTGACTGCATTCTCATTATATATATAGATTTGTAATTAATCCCACACCATTAATGCCTTAATGGTGTTCCAGATCTGAACAACTTCGTCAGGAGATCTGCCTGCATACAACAAAGAATGGAGAAGAATCAGGCAGCGGAATCAACAGAGGTTCCGGAGGTGGAGTCATCCAGTCGCCACTGCCGGAATCTGGCTTTTGTCACCGAGGTTGGTCGTCTGTAGCAGATCGAATTGTATTGTATGCATGTCACCCAGGTAGCAACGGATCTGGATGTCGGGCTTCAGAGACACAAAGTAATGGGTTGGGATGGAAACAATGGGCTGGAATAACTCATATTTTTAAGAAAAAGTGAAAAAGTAGTCACTTTTTGTATTTCACACAACTATTAGTAATATGTGTGTCCTTGTTCCTTTAATTTTTGGGTGTTCACAGGAACACCCTTGCATTGAAGAGATCCGCCACTGGTCGTATATGGACCACTTTCTATCTCCCATAGCAAATCAGTAACTCTTTGTGAATACATTCATGTATATGAGTATGTGGCTTTAATCAGAAAAACCTTTTAAGGGCATTTATAGAAGAGATACGGGGTTCAACATTCAAACACAAAAGCAGGAAAAGGTGATAACCATATGCATAGAGGACAAAGGAAGAAGAAAAGAGAGAAGATACAAAACGAAGAACATTTGGGAGGATATATGTTACAAGCAAGCAAAGACGAAGTATGTCGTGTTGTGGTCTATATTAAGCTGCAACCTCTATGAGACAGACCTTGGTGGGGCTACAAGCATTCACGCAACTGAGAAGTGAGCAGTGAAACTCATAGGAATTAGGCGAGGAGGGGGTAACATCGACCCACTCTTGCTCCACCAACTTGGAATGCTGATTTGGCTTTAGGATCGCGTGAAAGTGAAGTTTGTCTATCTGTTTCGTCAACTTTTCCATGAAACCAATGGATAATACCATGTTCAAATCATCCTCGTTGCTGTTCATATCCTTGAATTGTATCCCGATGTTTGCTTCGCATAAATCGGTGAACCCAAGGAGCATTTGCTGGTTTTTGCATCTGTTGTTTATAGAGCAAATCTGAAATGAAAACATTAAGAGGATGAAAGTAACACCAGCTCAGTTTCTGGACCATGCGTTTATGCAAACAAGCAATCAAATTGTCAAGCGAGACCCAAGCTTCTACCCAATAGAGGAGTACTGAGTACTGACCACCCTAAGGTGTGGTGGAGATTAGAGCTATGTTTGGCACACCATGAGCCAGCATACGAGTTAGATATTGGATTTTCTATAACTATTTTGAAACACACCATGAGCCAGCATACGAGTTAGATATTGGATTTTCTATAACTATTTTGAAACACACCATGAGTCAGCACACCCAAGCTTCTACCCAACTCTTTTCAACTTATATAAGCAACTTATTATAAGTTTAAACTTATTTAGTAAGCTTCTTTCAGTAGTTTTTCAAATAAGCTGCCAGCGTAATAGTAACTTTGAGCAGATACTATAAAAGCTTAGAAAGCACAACCAAAAAATATATAAAAAGAAATAAGCTTATAATCACCAAATGCTATGTCAAATCAACTAACTTCTGAGCTATAATAAGCTAGGACAATGTTTGTGTTTGCTTTTGCTTGTAAGAGGTGTTTATTTAAGTGATTCTAGAGAAAGTACTTAATGGTAAAAGATGATAATGTTTGAAAGTAAATTTAAAAATGACTTTAAACAGTAGAAGTTGGAATGCTTGGTAATAAAGTACTTTTTGGTGAATTATTAGGGTAAAATATTGTAAAGAGTCAATTCCCTAAATAGGACTAAAAAGTGGCAAAATTGCACAAATAGGACTACATTTTTTAAATTCCCTTAATAGGACTATTTATGTGTGTTTGGACAAATATACCCTTGTAACTTGTAAAATGTTTTAATTAATAATAAAATCATAAAACAATTTATAAAAATCGAAAAAATACTAAAAATCGTAAAAAAATAAAATAAAATTAATAAAAAATATTTTTAAAAAAAATAAAAAAAAAATAAAAAAAACAAATAAAAAAAAATAAAAAAAAAATCATAAAATTAAAAAAAAAACATTACCACCCCTGCCACCCCCAGCACCACCAACTCCCATCACCGGAGAAAAATATGACAACATTTTAAATAATTCCATAACGATGGCATATTCAATGAAAATGTTGGCATATTGAAGAGTAATTATGCCATCTTTTTGGCATTTTCAGAAAAATATGGCATTTTTTTACCAAAAGTGGAAGAAATTTCACCAATCGGAGGTGGTGGTGCTGGGAGGTGGCGGGAGGCGGTGGGAAAGGTATCCATATTTTTTTTCATTTTTTATGGGTTTTTACTATTTTTTATTATTTTTTTAAAAAAATTAAAAAAAATAAAAAATTAATTTTTTTTATTTTATAAATGTTTTATAAATTTTTTATAATTTTTTTACGTTTTTAAAATATTTTTTACGTTTTTTATGATTTTATTATGAATTAAAGCATTTCATTATGAATTAATACTCTTAGGGGTATTTAGGGTAGAAAATCAATGTTTAGTCCTATTTAGGGAATTTTAAAAGTAGTAGTCCTATTTGTGCTTTTTAGGAACTCATTAGTCCTATTTAGGACAATTTCCGTATTGTAAAAACGTGAAAAAAGGTTTTAAGCAAAAGCAGCGACTTATAAACATTGTTGGCTTTTTAATACAAACAAAATGTAAAACTGCTTCTCTAAAAACTGTAGCAAATGCTCATATGTATTATTACAAGTAACTAAATAGTATGTACCACCCTCCCATTTAGCAGAACCTGATTCTGATCCCCCATTTTCCAGTTAATTTTTCATGAATCCATGCTCCAGAGTGCTACTCAATCTCTTTCATTTGTATGATTTAGTGGTACCCCCATCACAAACATAAACTCAGTGGTCAAAGACTCAACGCGCCTGTGTTCAACAATAAACAACCACAAAACTAACTCTCTTTTTTGGTATATCATCTAACCTGAATGTAGTCCACGTTCATCTCACGTAGATTCTCTAGTAGATTGTGGATTGACAATGTGGCAACAATGCCTCCAGATCCAACTGGTCGTTGGAGAATTTCCCAGGGCGATTTCATCAAGATATTGTGTTTGTTTTCTTCTTGTGAACTACTAACAACGGGAAGCATTTCTTCTGCCAAGAACCAGACCTATAAATGTAGGAAGGAGGGAGAAGACTTGAAGTTGAATGTCAAGTTCAAGCACACTACTTGTAATGTGAGACGCTTTGGGTGAAATGTCAAATTAGCCCTCCCTTAACTTGTTAACTGTGTCGATTATGGTCCCAAAATGAAAAAAATCTCACGTCTAGTCCTCTAACTAAAAAATCGCGTATACAGGACTATTGCCTCAGAAAATTGGCAATTCTCCAGCAAGAAAGTCTTCAATATAAGATCTTAAATTCATATGGGACCAAAGCAAACACTACCCTGAAGGTATGGGGCCATTTTAGAGATACACACACAAACAACATTAAACTCAATTTCAGTTCTAAACAATGAAGATATTGAATAGAGGCTGGTGTAATAAAAATGTAGATCTTATATTTCCAACAACATAGTTTACTAACAGTGAAGCATTGTTTGAATAACAAACACTCCTCACCTTCTCTGAGTCGAAAGAGAAGAAATCGTGATTCATAAAAAGCTCTTTCATAGAATCAAGAGAATGAGTAGGACAGATCAATATCAATGGCACAGATGAACGATCGCCTGCCTACATTGAACATGAACATAAACTGATCAGATACAGATTTAAATAAACCTTATGGTAATGAAGTTAATTTCCTTATTTAGATGCTGAAATAAGCCACAAGATATATGCCATAGATATTATCTGCCCTGACCATTCTTACATCATCATGCAGCAATGCTTTTTTTAGATGCTGATATGTTTCTTCCATAGTGTTCTCCAAGTCCATTTGAGTAGCATATAAAACAAAAGCAGCTTTCCCACAGGATATGAGATGTTGGCCCCTCTCAGAATTCTCCCCTTTTCCATTATAACATATTTCTTCTGACACTTTTAGAGTATGCTTTGTTGAAGTTCTTACGAAGTCTGAAAAGCTCCACCTGGCACCAACATTTTTCAAAATTTTGCGTGATATTGTTGGGAAAAGTACCTACACGTCTTGTTTTCTCCTCATATCAGAGCTCATTCACTTTTACAAAGAGAACTAGTAATTAAGACTCCCTCTATCCGACAGAGATAGTCCACTATTTCATTTTGAGCCATGCCACAAAAATAGCCCAGTTTATTTGTTGGGTTTAATTTACGTTTACAGGATTATCCCTACTTAATTACCAACATTCAAATCAAATATCACTTTAACAAAGGAAACTGTTAACTTTACAAAGGGTAAAACTGGGTGCTGCATATAAAGTTGATTGTTCCAATAGACAATCAATATATATTATGTGGGACGGAGGGAGCAATATTCTCTTCTATGAGTTAATAAGTTCTCTTTTCTAAACAAAATAATAGTGATCATATATTGGAATTTGACTTGTGTTTTAGTCCTATCTCATGTGAAATATAATATAGCCAAGCAGGTCAGACAGAATTAAGGTTTACATATTAAAAACAGTTGGGTAGAAATTAGAAGTAGAAGAAATGTATATTAGTTAAACAAAGGTTAGTTAACATTTTTTCAAATAAAAACTAATCATACTTTTGTCTTCCAAAAGTGTAGAGGTAATATTTTAGTCATTTTTCAAAAAGAAACAAGAGCAGAAATAACAAAAAATGGTAAAATTGCGTGCAACAAAAGCATCACCTCCTCGATGGAACTACCATATTATTCAGTGCATAGCCAATCAATTTTGAATTTACAGAAACTATCTCGTTCGCAAGTCTGCTTTTTTGGCTTTTTACTCCATATCTGAACCCTTGAAAAACATGGTGTTGCTCCATTTCTTGCAGTTTCTTCTTGGCTTGAATAAGCTGTCTTTGAAACTTCTTTCTTTCTTTCCACTCCTAACATGCAGTGGGAAATGAATAGTGAAGTCACAAATATGAGAATTGTTTCAGAAGCATGTTTCCCACATATTGAACTCAAATGTTTAGAACAGTAGCCAATAGAGACTTTAAAGGCGGCTTTATCATCCATCAATTAAAAGGCACGTGGGTTTTCCACTTTTATGCAAATGCAATTACATAGGATATGTTTGGGAGTTGGATTTTAGGGGGTTTAGAGGGAGGAAGCATCTTCTTTTCTAATTGAGAAGATTGTGTATGATCTACAATAAATAAACTGCTAGAATCATCAAGTAAAGCATACAAAAACATCCAAGTCGGCTAACATGAATCGACATATGAAATTGGAGTTAAAAAAATAAAAAGAGAAAAAGGAGAAAAACAAACACAGATCAATCCTTGACATACTCTCCCCCAAAACCCAACTCCAAAAAAAACTCTTGGGGTCTGTTTGGATAAAGAGTTTGGAAGGTTTAGGGGCACTTCGTCTAAATCTTGATAAAATAGAATGTTTCTATAAACAAATAAAGGGTGATTGAACAGTTATATGATCATCTATTATGCTATTCGATAAATCTATAATATCTCAAATACATATAAAGATATACTTAGCCTTCCAAATCCCTCCCCTCAAAACCCACCTAAAATCTCCAATCAAAATGACCCAAAGCAGACTATTTCCATAACATAAACATGGAAAGGAACAATGGTTTGGAATACACATAACTAGAACAAAGGTGAGAGAAAGTATGCCTCACAAGCTGGCGCCTTTCTTTCTTAGGTCTATCATCAGAGCGGATATTTAATTCTAGGAGACCCATTGGAGGTGTGATCAACATTTCCTTTTTTCTCAAGTCAACATCTGGAACAATTGCTTCGACGAATGGAACCCAAACAAGGGTACCAGAAGCACCCGCTTGCCTCTTTAGCTTCATGGATTGACCATGTAGACGAAAAGATGAATCAAGTTCAACTTGAAGAAGATCATTTGCTCCAGTGTTGAAAACATTAATAACAGTTCCGACTAACTCTCTGGTTTCCTATAATAGACAATCAATAGAAGGGGAAAAACAGTAAGATCGTGTTCCTGTGCTTAAAAATGTAACTGATCTAACTTTTTAAGAACTGGTCCGATCTGGATATTTTTGTCTGATTGAATGTTTATGATGCTTTCTACTTTTTTTGACTAAAACTCTAATATAATATCTGGTCTGGTATTGATCTTCTTGTTCGAGTTTGAACCTTTTGGATATTGTCTAAATGTGTGGTTTCATTGAAATAAATATAAGCAATGATAAAAAAATAAGGTGAAGAGAACAGCAAATAACTGAATAACTCCCCAAATATTCCGTCAAGAGTAAGGCCATATATACATTTTTTTGCTACATTGGTTGAGGCATGCAAGTATTGGATGATAAAAAGTTGGCTAAATTTTTGTCATCCAATAGATGCATACCACACAAGAATGTAGCAAAAAAAATTACAATTACCATTATTGTTTCATTAAATACTTATTCAGGACCCCCCCCCCCCCCCGGTGGGAGTGATTCTCAGTTTTTACACATCATACCATAATAAAATAAAATCCAGAACCTTTGCCACAGATATACTGATGTCTATATGACTTGATCTAAAAAAGTTTCATGTTAATACAAGGGACGAAATAAATGAAAAATATATATACTTTTAACTAAAGCAATTAAATACATGAGTAAACAAAATACCAGCCACAGATTTCAAACACAAACCTTAAGCAAAACTCTCATGCCAACAAGGTCGCGGGTATAAACTTCACCTTCCTGCAAGGTTGGTCTATCATTTTCAGCTACAAGTATGGTTGAACCAACCAGTTTCTGTGCCTGAGAGAAAGAAGGCTATCAGAATTTCAGTTGCCGGGGAGAAATAGTTACACTTTTACCAACAACAACTCAACAAGAATAATTCTTGGCTACCTTTTGGTAAGAAAATAATTACATATTATTAATCTTACCCAATTACTTCCACTAGGGGAAGAGATTGCAGCTAATACCACGTTTTCTACATTAACAATAATATTACCATGGTAAAGACGTAAATCAGTTCAGGATTTTCAAAAAAATAAAAATAGTACATGAACAAAGTCCATTACATTTGTCAATAAACTATTCAGGAAACTGTTCTCACTTCGTGGAAGCAAAGCTGTCCTAAAGACTAGAGAGAGAGATGTAACTGATGGATGTAGGATTTTACATATCTTCTTCATTTATGATCCATCCAAAACATGAATTAGCTTCTGATTCTTATTATTCTACCTTTTTAGCACATCTTTTTTGCCAGTTCTTGTGTACAAATTTTTGTTTTAGTGTTCTGATGTAGTGAAGTTATAAAAACAAGATTAGCAGTCCTACTAATCTTCATCCTAGATAGTTGGGGTCAGCCACATGAAATTTATAGAATTAAATATTGTGCAAAATTAGTTAGACTTATAAATTTATGCAAAAAAAAAAAAAGTGACCGTTTTACGCCAGATTCCTTTCATGTCACAACCTTTTTACTAAGAAATAACAAAATGAAAGACCAAAACTACACAATCATAGACTATTTCCACTTGCATGGAAAACATTATGAGACTGAAATGAGTTGGGATAGTTTCTAATTTCTGAAGTGTCGTCATTGCAAGATTTATATTCTAAATTCAATATGCAAATCACAGAAACATATATTATCAAGAACTTATAAAATGATAGACACGTAGTATATCATATCTGTACCCCTTTCTGCATTTTTGAAAGAGAGAAAGAGAGTTACAGAGAACCTGTTCTACTGTGTTGATTCCATAAAATTTTATTATCCAACTCTTCTGCCCATGATGTCCCCTTCCCTCAACCAACTCAAACTCTTGAATTATTTGCCTCCCTAAAATTTGTTGTCTCAACCACCGCCTTCCTGGCTAATAAGATTGTACCAATCCTGATTAAGAAATGTTCAGATATATCATAGCACAAGTTTTTTTGTTATTCGTCTTCTTAAATATTTTTTTCTACCTCGGAAAATCGCATTTCAGGAAAATCTGTGGCTGGCTTCACCCTAACCTCACCTTGAAGGCCATGAACACTGCATACATATCCAGTCTCTACAAACTCCATTTCAGTCGCATCACCAGTATTCACAGTTTCGTGTACAGCTAAAAAGGTACATAAAGAAAACACCAGAAATCTTTTAGAAAATATGTTAATCAGAGCAACATTTAATGAAAACGAAAAATTTGCAAAATCAAGCTTAAAGTTACGAAACTCATGTACATAAGATAATAAAACAACAATGCGTAGATATATGCACCAACCATACCAATCAAGTTAACAATCATTTGCATTTTGCACAACATGAATCGCCAATTATGAACATAGTCATTATCATTATTATCATGTAATCCCAACTAGTTACTACTTGCAAAATCCAGCTTTTAGTTAGGGCACTCATGTACTCAACTACAACTGTTCATAAAATAATAAAATTGCAATGCTTTGTTAGATGCACCATATGTCCATACCATGTTATATCTCACAAAAATCAAGTTCACAATCACTTGCATAACAAGAATCGCCATTTCTGAGGGTAGTCATGATCATTATTAGCACTTAGTCCAACTAGATGCTAGTTCTTGTGTGTGACACTAAATGTATAATGGCTAATTAATTTTATAAAATAACTTAGCAATATAAGTTCGTACAAGGATAGACAACGGATGCCCTTCCTTTCACAACCTTCTTAAATTTCTAAAATCTTCACCATCATAATGACATAATGTATCTCACACACACTGAAAATAAACTAAATCACTCTTGCTTGTCATGTACAATATAGGATTGATATTGTGAAACCGAAATGCAAATCTGGAACATGACCACATTTATAAAAGTAACCAGTGAGGAAACTAAAAAAACAATTAAACTTTGTTCTCATTAAAGTAGTGCCATTAACTTAGATAAACATACAACAACAACATCCAAGAATTAATCCCAATAGAGGTTGGGGTCAGCTAACATTAATCGACATATGACATCAGAGTTTAAAAACAATAAATAGAGAAAAAGGAAGACAAACAAAATCATATCAACCCACCACGGGTATACTCTCCCTCCACTTTGCTCTCTATAAAGTCATACTCACATCTAACCCAAGAAGTATCATATCATTCTTTCATTCTTAATCACTATAATCCATGGCAAAAAATAAACTAAATTCAAACAAGATAGTATAACATCTACCAGAGCATATAGACTTCAAAATCCTTTACTAATGATATCATGACATCAAGAATCACTTACATGAAATTGACACAGGAAACAGAATAAAATGCGAGTTATTAACTTCCAAATAACATAACGCTCAAAAGAGCTAAAGAAAGTATTATAATGTGAATACTGAATATTTTATTATAGGATACATAAAAGTAAGATTTTAACCACAAAATCAACCTCGTAAAGCTGAAGGGATGGATTTAGGGGGGTGCAACCGCCCCCCTCGAGATTTAAATGTTTTGTATTATATAGGTAATATTTTCAATTTTTCATTAATGATTTCATACTTTAAATAAAGATATACGTGTTCGCCCTCCTTACTTTTAGTTTTCACAAAATAAATTTATAATGTTAGATGTGAGATAATACTTAATATATCCTGGGGGAATATTTTAGTTAAGTATAGTTTTGTCTTCATAAACATCAATAATGTTATTAATTTCTTGATTTGAACAGATAAATAATAGAAGACTCATTGGTTTAAGACTTAGAATACTTATTCTATAAAAGAGAATACTATTTTTGTAAAGTTTATTTATCTTTAGTTGATAAAAAGTACTGGATTTTGTAAAATATCGAGCAATATTAAAAACATACCTCAAACACTAGTTAAACAATTTTCAAATAATATGAAGTAAATTCAAAATATAAATTCTTGTGTGACTTTTTAAAAAAGAATTTATTGTAAAAATAATAAACTTTGAAATATTATAGCATTAATACAAATACAATATGCACAACGTATATGAATTAACAACATAGTATTAATCTAAAAATTAATAATCTCATACATCCTATTGTAAAATTAAAAGGGGAAAATAATTTAAATATCCCAAACTTTCAAGGGATGTGACTTGTGAGAAGAGTACCCCAAACTTGCACATGTAATATATATACCCCAAACTTTATATAAAAAATTCTCTTAGCACCATGAGTATATATTTTTTCATAAATGTAAATTTTTTATGCTCATTTTCATTTACCCTAGTGCCGCAAAGGCTCCCACCTACGGTGGGGTAAGGGGGGGGTCGGATGTACGCAGTCTTACCCCTGTACTAAAACACAGAGAGACTGTTTCCGGATGACCCATAGTGAAAATCGCGTCCAAAATTGCATGGACTGACTGCTGCTTCATAAGAAAGAAGCGCAGACAGTTTAGTGAGCCATTTTGCTTTATTCCATCATATTCTCAAGCCAAAAAATAATTAATCTTTGGCTCCATTGCAAATGATGGAAAAATACACAAAATATTTATGAGGGTGCAATTAAAATAAATTGTATTGGATGTGATATTATTTATTTCACAAATAAAATTTTAGAATGTTACCCGCATTCTAACAAAGCATGGAGTATTTTTAAATTATGTAATTATTCCAACAAATTTTTATTTGTAAAACAACATACAATCATGGTGCGAAAATAACTTTTCATATAAAGTTCAAGGTATATTTATTACATATGCAAGCTTGGAGTGCTTACCTCACACCCCATTAAAGTTTACGGTATTTAAATTATTTTCCCCAAATTAAAAGGACTCATTGTGGCTTACAAGCACCCATGCTAAACAAAAATGTGTAATTCAAGAGTTTCATTGTTTATATTCTAATAAGAGTCATGCTGTTAAACAAAGCAAAAATTATTTTAAAAACATAGGTGGATTTGCACCTGACAGTGTCTTTACCTTCAAATAAATTAATAAAATTTCAGGCTTTAATTTACCACCAACTCTTTTAGAGCATTTCTATTATAAAATCTAAGTTACTTTTCTCATTGTAAGTGTGAATTTAGAGTGTGGTGCTTTTAAATGTCGTGGATACGCTAATTAAAAAAAAAATTAAAAAACTAGGTCGAGTCCTACACTATTGAAAAAAAATTGCCCCTTGGCCACAATTCTCGATCGTCCCTATAAAGCTGTACACCTTAACAGACTCGTAACACAAACCCAAATTGGGTAGCTGGGCAAACAGACTGAATATATTATATGCTTCAAGGCCATCCCAAATTGTAGAAGGGTCTTGACCGTTCTTGTGCTAATTACTATAACTGGGCCTTGTGTTTATATTTTTTAATACCCCGTGCTATAGCACTTCTTGCGCGCCTAATAAACGGCCCCTTATGCTTCTACAAACTATTGCAAGAATTTACCTCTTACTATAAATATACTGAAAGGACGTGATTCAAATGAGAACTACATTAGACATACAAAACAGGTTCTATAACTTCAATGGGGTAAGAGAATTACCATTGTAGCAAGATGAAGGATAAGATGACTGGTCGATAAGGGACAAAGTGCGAGATAGCTGAGCAGTGAAGGGAGATATGGGAGTTATACCAATTATTTGATTGCTGAGGCGTGCTCCGGAACGCAGAAATGGCGGGTAACAGATGGAATTGTGGGAAGAGAGTGCGGTTGGGAAAGAAAGGAATTGCATTGGTTGTGCGGGGTTGCAAACGATGGGAAACTAATTTGACACCGATATATGGCAGTCCGTATACCGTGCAACGGTAGCATGGTGAGCACCATGCTCCACACCCCAAAACGACGTAGTTTTGATCAATTTTAAATAATAATAAAAATTCGCGTGAACAGTACACGCGTGAACAGTGCACGCGTGTACAGTGTTTTTTGTTATTTTCATCCCAGTAGCATGGATGATGTAATTCGCGTGTAAAGATATGTAACTCGAGTTCTTGATCAATGTAACTCAAGCAAAATGAGATGTAACTTGTCAAATACATAGTATACGAAATAAAACATTGATTTCAATGTAAACAATGAAAAAGAGAGTCTAATTATTATAAATGTAATTCGTGTTGATGACAAATGTAAGTTGTTGAGGTAAGTCCAAATGTAACTCGCTTATAAAAAGATGTAACTCATGCACATGAATATGTAACTCGTTCATAAAAAGATGTAACTCCATGTAACTTAAGATGTAAATTTGTATTAAAGAGTGTAACTCCATTTTATACGTAAAAACCAATTAACCTCATCGATCAAAGCATGTTAGATTAATCTGAACGGATAAGTTTATACGAAGTATTAATCTGAATTGATTCATAGCAGCCTATTACATCAAAGCAATTGAACTTGCTTCAATTTTCAAAACGAAAAGCAGCACAAGAGAGAAAGCAAGGAAGAAAAGTTAGTGGAAAAAAGTTAGTGGAAGCATGGGAAGAATAAAATTTTGGGAAACGATTTTAATTGCATAAGAACGACACCGTATTAGAACCGGGCATACCATGCACATGGTATGCCGGTTGCACGGTATAAATTGCGGATATATGGAAGCATCACCGCAAATTTCGAGGATCTGTTAATTAAGTCACATTTTAAACTTTTTCAATTTCCAAAATTACCTTCTTACCCCTTGTCATTACCCTATTCTACCTGCCCCGTCCCTACCTACCTTACCCTGACCCCACCCCATACCCCTACCCTACTACCAATTACTCCACCCCACCTCACTCGTACCATTTACCCTACCTTGACCTTACCCCCTTTAACCCCTACCACATGCTCCTACGTTGACCCCACCCTACCCCCACCACCACCCCTTACTTTATCCTGACCCTACCCCTTTACCCCCTACCACATCCCCTACCTTGACCCCGTAACTCTGACCCCATCCCAATCCTACCCCTACCCTCGAACCCCACCCGTCCTAACCCCCACGCCCTGCCCTGCCCCAACTCCACCCTTATGAGTAGGGTAAATGTGTAATGGTCGGGGTAGGGGAGGTGGTATGGGGTAAAGGGGTAGGGTCGGGGTGGTGGGGGGGTAGGGTGGTAAGGATTCAGGGGTAGGGTCGGGGTGGTGGGGGGGTAGGGTGGTAAGGATTCAGGGGTAGGGTGTAAGGTAGGGGTATAACTACGGGGTATGGGTACGCGTACGAGGTGAAGGCCACATATTATATTATATACATGTGTTCATGAATGTTTGTGTATCTATATATGTATAGGTACGCCTATATCCAAAGGACGCCAAAGGCCTCCATAACCCCTTTTGAGGGTTACGAACATTACGGAGAGGCCTAAGGACGAAGTTACTTGCGTTTTTACGATTGTTTACTCCAAGACCCTGGGATTATTTGTAAGTTCATCTTTTTAATTAATGACAATTATTTCTATTCATCCCAATTATGTTGATTCTTCAATTATGAATTGTGAGTAGTTTAATTAGGGATTTGGGGTTGATGAAGGGGTTAATCATGATGTATGGCTAGATTCTTGTTGGTTTAATTGCATGAATGTCGTTTAATTTGTGTATGAATAATTTAATTGATATCTCTTGTAACATAGACTGCAACTAGAATTACAATTGCATGTAGAATGAATTAAGAGAGATATAATTTGTTCTACGACACATTCACACACACTTAATCGTTCGCTAAGAGATTAGTTGCGATTAATGGGCCGTAAGCTCGCTCGTTTTGGCAATAATTTAGGATCCTGTCGCATGAGAGATCAGCCTGGTCCCCTAAATTATTGTACTCTATGCCGCGAGAGCGGTAAGAACTTAGTAATGATTAGCTAGGCTCAATTAAGTTAATTTCATGGAATTAGGCCTGATCTGCCAGAAATCTGGTTACCCCGGAATCAATCTCTGTTCCCTTTGTTGTTAATTAAGAAGAAACCAAATTTATTTTTATTCGTTAATCTGCATTAATTTAATTTTCCAGCAACCAATCATATCTCGCACGACGCGTTTATTTTATTAATTTTTAATCGCTGAATTTAATTAATTTTTTATTCCCTTTTGTCCGTCCCTGTGGAGACGATACTCGTACTTTCAACCACTCTACTACATCATTTTTAAGTGTGAGAAAACTCACATCAGGCTACACTTGCCTTGTTACCTATATGCACTTTGATGGAGGTTAACACACTCCAAGGACTACACTTGCCCTTGTTACATACGTGTAATCTGCCGGAGGTTAAACACATTTCAGAGACTACACGTGCCCTTGTTACATATGTGCAATTTGCTGGAGATTAAACACACCTCAATGACTACACGGGCCCTCGTTACATATCTTGTCGTGTAAGTTCTTTAACAATATAGTTTGTATCATCACACTCGAATCAACTTAGGGATGACCTTTATCAGGACTTCCTGTTTACCTCAAGCCATGAAAGGGTCCCTTCGGATCCAAGTCATGCTTGTACAACTAGCACCAGGTCTCACCCGAACTCGAGTTACTCATCGAGACTCTCAAACTTAACATTTACATTACCCGAACTTAGTCGTGATAATCCTCGGCCAACTATAGATCAAACTTAGTCTTTAAGTTGGTACTCAACTTAACTATCAAACCACGAGCTAGCCTCGCACCGATTACCCACCCGAAATCCTTATCCGAAAATAAACAACACCGGCCGGCACCGAACATGACCCAACCGACGCCGGAATTAAGTTTAATTGGCTGGAAAATAGCCCTAACCGGCGCCAAACATCAGTCAATCGGTGCCAGACATACGCATTAATCGTCCGGAAAACAGGTCTAACCGGCGCCGGACGTTAGTCAACTGGCATCAGACTTTTGTAATTTTCACCGGAAAACACACCCGATCGGCGTCGGACCTTACCAACTCGGTGCCGAACTTCTCTATTTCAAATGGCCAAAACCGTCTGTTTTGCACAGGCGCTTTCGACCGGCCCAAAAATTGGACAATCGGCGCCGGTCAACGATGTCCCATTTTAGTCAACTCTTGTTTGACCATCCAAATGAGTCCGATTTCCATGAAATTTTATACACTTATACAACAGGTCATTCTTAGTCCAACAATTTCATTTTGAATGTCCAAAACATCATACATATTTTGTAATCATATTTTATCCAAAATCAAGCATACTAGTATACTTATCAATACAATTAATAATAAATCTTGTCTTAATATATACTTAGAGTCTTAGATGCATTTAATCATTTCATGGGCCACCATTCTATTTTCCTTGAGTAATCTCATGCCTAAGCCCAAAACATGGCTCATTATCCTCTTTTAAAACATTCTATCTATACCATTAATTCATTATTAATTAATCATACCATATTCACATAATCTTTAATTAATATGGTTAATCGCATGTTCAAACACTTTAATACATATTCATTTATTGGATTACTCTAGTTAGTCTCATACATAATCCAAGTGTGACTTATTATACATTTACAACAATATACTCACATGTCATGATCAATCAACAAATTAATCTCTTTTTCACTAATAACCATATAACACTTTCATAATCCATAATTTCCATGGTTAATGATGTATTTTAATCCATTGAATCTTTTTCCAAATCATGGTTTTGATTAATTTAGGTAATCCCACGTTTTACCTTGTTAGAGATATTTTCATGTATTGTGATCAATGTTTTATCTAGCATCTTGGTAGTATTTATTGTGTATTTAATAGGCCTTAAATGTAAAAGGCTACTAAGCTAAATTAGGAATGGGCCTCCTAAAAAGGAGAGACCATATCATTGTAAAACCTACCATTCTAAGGAGGCTATAAATAGACCCCTTAGGAATGGCTAGGTTAAGCTTTCCTCCCTCAGAAATATTCCATGCACATAGAATAGAGCCTACGAAAGTTTTACACTAACATTCTTCACCATCTTTGTGTAAACTTTCTGGCTATCAATGGAAAACTTCTTCTACTCCTATTAATCAGATCTTATACATTATAGAGTAGAAATAGGGACCAACATACCTGTAACACATGAGATTAATTTAAATGGTTTAATAGTACTACTCATACCAACAAGGTCCATCTCCTTTTAAGGGAGCTCATTAGTTAAGAATTCCAAAGTTAAGCGTACTTGCACAAGAGTAATTTTAGGATGGGTGACCCCTGGGAAGTTTCTCAGGGCACTTACGAGTGAGGACAAAGTGCGCAGAAAAGGCTAGTGACGGTTTGTGAGGACTATACTAGAGGTATGGAAGAGTATTATGGAGTAACTACCTCGGGCTCTGTGGGGGTGGGGTGTTACAGGTGGTATCGGAACAACCCTGTGACAGTGTGCTGACCCGTTGGATATCTGGCGAACCGGTCACCTTAGCTTCTAAGTCCGTTCTTGGACTCAGAACCACATTCTAATCCCTCATTCTACACTTCTAAACATGTAGAACAATCCTAGGAGTTCCACACACGACTTAATTAGTCATGAAACTTAAGTGAAGGAAGAAGAGATAACAACGAACTCATTACCTTAATATCCAAGGTTTTCCCTCACTTTTCCTTATTTAAACTTCCCATTTTGGACCTTCCTTGCTTGAGTTCGAAATTGGCTATTGTGAAACAAGGTTTGCAGATCTCTCCTTATTCCTTCGGATGGCTTGGACGAAATGGTGAGAGGAGAGAGGGTGGAGAGACCAATTTTGTCTCAAAAGATCTATGAGTGATGTGAGAGGGTCCCTCTACCTTTCAAACATGTCTAACACATCCCCTCATCCATCAATTAGTCTCATCCCATGTTCC